TCATGGTCCATTGACTTTGTCAGCATCTCCATCAACATTAAGTTTCTGCATTTAAGTTTGTTTCTCTGATATGTGCATTGATGGTCAAAGCGGGTACAGGCGAGACATATCAATCCGGATGGCTTGTTTTATTATATGCAATTTTCTAATGATCTATGTTAAACGATAAATCAATCTCAGTATTTCTAGGACGTTTTTACAGAACCCCCTGCCAATACTAAAGAATCTGGCCGCCTACCTGGGTGTGGACCTCGCCGAGCATACTCTGATGGCTATCAACGACAAGTGTTCCTTCGCAAACATGTCCACTGCTGGGGCTCGAGCTAAAGACAACGCGATACGACAAATGTCCATTGATGGTTCCAACTTCATGTTTCGCAAAGGTATACTTTTAAAAGAGTCGGTATTAAAGCGCCCAGATGCATTACTACCTTACAATTAACCTGTTTAAGTTGATGTTACCTAATATTCGACAAAACATTTACTTAGCGTGGTTTTTTTACACATATTAACAAAATGTTTGCATAACAATAAGAGGTTAAACGCATCATCCTTTCGTACAATATTGCAATACAATTAATCTGTAACTGTTGATGTAACCTTATATTGAGCGTTATTATTTCACATATTGAATAACAAATGTGTAATCAATCCATATAGAAACACGAAAGTATTCATGAATTTGGTTGATTGTTTTCTGTATACTTCGTTTCAGGGATCATCGGAGATTGGAAAAACTGGTTCACTGTAGCACAGAATGAAACTTTTGATAAAATTATCGAAACAGAGATGAATGTCTCCTCATTGAGAGTTGTTTATGAGTAATATGTGACTCGTTACATGCATTTATTTAACTAGTATTTGGAAATATTCGACAAATTGTTTTTGTAAATAAAAAAAGTACACACAACTGTACGTGCTCTATCTACATGAATAAAAAAATATATTCGTTTTTATTTTTTATATGTCAAGTTGTTATGACATTCCAGTTTCAGACTTAAGCAACGTAACGTTTTTGTTGGTGGTATTTTGATAAATATACTAATCTATTGTGGTAACCGAGAAGCCAAAACAATAGATAGTCAAAAGATTTAGGAGATAGCCCTAACGTATTTTGAGATATGAGGCGGTATATCGTGATTATACTGTCCAGGAATTGTCATTGTGCGGAAACGTTCAGATCAGCCAGAGGAAGGCATCACGCTGTCCAAGGCCAACGTTGACGTGCCATTGTTGGAAAGACCTCCCTCAAATAGATGACCACATACCTGTTCAAGAGAAAGGGTCCGTTTGTAGGAAATTGACTTTGGTGTTCATGTACAGTCTTCAACGTATTGACGTGAAATTGGCAAATAAAGGGCTTTTTTCATGAAATAGTTGAACTCCAAATGAATCATACTTAAATTACATTTTCGTAAAAGAAGTGATGGCGATAAATTACCTGTGTTGCTTTTGTTTTTAGACCGGACTTATTTAAGCGCTTGGCATTTCTCGGTGAAAAATAAAACAAATATCAATGGCGTTTGGAATACTCGGCCCGTATTCATGCTCAAAACTCAGATTTTGTGACCAATCCAAATTTCGTGTTCTGATGATGAAAGGATAACACAATTTTCAAGTATTTTGTCAATGATTCAGAAAAAAAATATGAAAAGACTCCAAACCGAATTTACATTTAGTTTGAACTATTTACATTTTTGTTTACCGTTTTCACATTATGTAAGCCAGCCATGAGCATGGGACCGGTTTCATAAAAAAACGGACGAAGATATACTCATCAAAATCATCAGTTCTCGACATAGGTCGAATTGTCGATGTCGTTCCCATAATCATGACAAAGTATTTTTGTGAACAAATTTCAGATTTGCAACTTCTGAATATCATCTATTACGTTGTTTTTTTTCAAATTGATTAGTTCTAGCCTAAATTTGGATATGCTTGAAACGTAATCGGGTCAATTCCGCTATATTATGGTCAGGTGAAGTTTTTATTCTGAACTTTAGTGGAGTCCATTTGTATTTTATTCACTTCCGGTAATGCAGTTCCCATGTTGTTGACATCTTGCGACAGAGGTTTTATGATATAAGGTAAAGTTTAATTTAAGTTTTGTTTTACCACCAGTACTTTATTATGTACCTTTTATGGACAGGGAATATTACAGGTTACGATTTCCCCTCACACGCTATCAATACAGCTTTCATGAGAGCTGAGAGGAAAATTCTTGTTCCACCAAAATACACAGATACAGAGACAAAAATGTCCGGCATTCCGGAGACCATATACCTATACTGTGACACGCCAATGTGTCACTAACCTATCAAAAAAGTCATTCTGTAGCCTTTGTAAGGTATGTATCTATGAATCTAGATAGCTGTCACTGGTGTTGAACTTCAAAGAAATGTTTAGTAATAACATATATAGTAAACTGTTTAGTTGTTTGAGTCCTTTAACAGTCAACCTTGCACCTAGTCGACCACATGGGTTCGTTAAAAGTGTCTAAATACACGTGTACTATACTGATATAGGTCATACTACAGGCGCCTGCATCTGGTATACATTTGTACATGTACATATGTGAAAATATAAAATACCCTCCAGCTAATGGAACTCTATCTAAATCAGAGATTTATAACATTTAGATAGAGTTCCTACAGGAATTAACCTGCAGCCTACCCTAGTAAATTGGGGTCAATATAGAAGTGTAGGTAGGCTATTATATATTTTTATCATACATATTTACATACCAGTTACAGGCGCCTGTGCTTAATGTCAACCACATGCCTACTGTATGCCTTGCAAATTGAAATTGTTGAGGAATATAGGCCCTCAATGCCTTTCGTGTTGAGATTGTACATATACTGGTGAGTTAGTTTTACAGTGTTTATTTTTTTAATTTCATTTTTAGGAAATAATTTGGAAAACAAAACAAAGACCCTGCTGTGTAATCAACCTTGTTGTGAAGAGCTGATCAATGATCCTTGGAAAAAAAACTGTAATCTCGGAAGAAAGTTCATCTATCTGAACGAATCTCAGTCCGTTATCGAAGAAACTTGTTCTACACGACAGTATGTGTTACTACTGTGATTACAGACTTCAGTTTGGACAAAGATAAGCATGATTACGTACCAGAAAAACGTTAGATGTAATGTCTAAAAATTGAGATAAGATCTTCGTGTCATAACAGGAAGCACACGAGAGACAGTGTAAACCAACATATATTTATGGTAAGGAATTCTGAAGGGCGAATGGACTAAATAAACACTACATATGAAAATTTCAAACACACACTTGTGATCTATAGCTAAGTTCTAGAAACATATATACAGCATGGTACATACAGGAAAAAAGGCATTTGAGTGTGATTTTTGTGGTAAACGGTTTAAGAAGACCGGCGGTCTGACATCTCACCGCATGGTACATACAGGAGAAAAGCCATATGAATGTGATATCTGCGGAAAGCAGACTAGAACGACAGAAGACCTGAAGAGACATCTAAGGTTGCATACAGGAGAGAAACCATATAAATGCGACGTCTGTGGTAAGGAGTTTACTCAGGCGTCTAATCTTCGTACACACGCCGTAATTCATACAGGTGAAAAACCATACAAATGTGATATCTGTGATAGAGGCTTTAGTCAAATGGCTAACCTCAAAAGCCATCGTATGATACATACAGGAGAAAAGCCACACAGGTGTGATGTCTGTGGGAAAGGGTTTTGTCTTGCATCCAGCCTTAAGGCGCATCGCGTCATGCATACAGGAGAAAAACCGCACGTTTGTGAAATCTGTGGAAAGAAGTTTACGGCAACACAGAACCTAGCAAGACACATCAAGGTACACACAGGAGAGTATTCCCATGAGTGTGATGTCTGTGGTAAACTGTTTCTTCAGGCAAATGGCTTACGTATACATAAAATGTTACATACTGGAGAAAAGCCTTTCAAGTGTGACGTCTGTGGGGAGGGATTTCGGCAGGCCTACGGACTAAAAAGACACACCAAGATACATACAGGGGACAAGCGGTACAAGTGTGATGTCTGTGGTAAGGTGTTTAACAAGGCCGCTGTTCTAAAGATACACCAAAGGGAACATACAGGGGGGAAGTTGTTAACATGTAATGTCTGTGGCAAGGGCTTCAGTCAGCAGTCAAACCTCCAGAAACATCTCTTGATTCACTCGGGTGCGATGCAATACACATGTGATGTCTGTGGTCAAGGCTTTAATCAGTCTATTGTCCTGAAGATGCACCAGAATGGACACATAGAAGAGAAGTTTCAGAAAGCTGACAGTAAAAGATCTAATACCAAGAATGATGGCCTGGAGGAGAAACATAACATATAGAGGGGAAAGGGGACAGTGACCTACAGACGTGAAATATGTGCTTAGGGGTTTTGTACAACTTCTAGGCGTTAAAAAACACATGGATTCATAGAACAATGTCAATATGAGAAGGGTAATAAAATAAATTGACACTTGATTTATTTTACATTTCTTATGAAACAAGTTATTACAACTTTTATTAATCATAATTGGTTGCACAGATGATAGTGTGCAACAGGTCTTAATGTGTGGGGAACCTGAGTACCCAGAGAAAACTTATGTGGTCGGGCAGCTGGTGACCCACATACCTTTTTATGTCCGATGGGGCATCACAGCCCAGCTGCCTTGGTGAAAGGCAAGTGCGTTATATCCACCCGATA